CCCTCCCTCCCTCTCTCTATCTCTCTCTTTCTCTTCTCTGCTTCCATCTCCTTACCCACCAAAAAAGAAAAACAAAAAGCGCCGTCCTTTCGCTATTATTTGCTTGCTTTCTTCCGTTCGGTCGGACTTGGTTCGGTTTGGTTATCTGCTTGCTTTGCTCTACTTTTCTTTTTGCAACCTATCACATCATCATTATCATTTATCATATATACGGTGTTGGGTACTCTTTTTTTTCTGTTTTTCATATTCTACTTTCCTTTTTTGGCGTGGGCGGGCGGATTGCGTCGTCGTTCAGCGGCACCAGCAGCACATCAGCACTCACTCATCATCTCATGGGCTAGGCTATGGTTTACTTTCCAATACTCTACCTTGTTTCATGCATAATATCTATACCTTATCTCTACATGTCTGACCTTACCTTACCTTGGACCATAAGTCGCGTCCGCCGTCGTCATTCCGCATGTCGATGCTGCAGCTTCTCTCCTTGCCATCCCGTCTCCATCCCGTCTCGCCTCCACCAGACCAGGCGATATGCAAATCAATTATTGCAGCCTCAAATAGCACAACACAGCACTGCACAGCAATGCACAACACAAGGCATATCCGAGATGAGACGAATACAACAAACACCTACTTAATTGGGTCTGGTCTGGTCTGGTCTGGCCCGTCGTGCCATTCAAGTATATTCTTGTTCGATTGTTTCTCGCATTTTTACAAAAGAACAGCCCGTGCCTATTTCTTTTCTATCTATTTGCTTGGATCTATCTATCTATCTATCTCTATCAGGCTGGCTGGGTGGGTGGTTGGGTTGTTGGGTGGGCGGTTGGTGTGTTGGATTTTACTTACCTGGGCGGAAAATGCTGCTTGACTTTGACTATGTTGTTTCTTTTATCTAAACTGAACCGAACGGAACGGCTCTGAGCCGTCTTAGCTGCAGGGAGATCGGACCAGGTCGGGATGCATCTGATATGTTCGTTTCCTAGCTGACTCGACATCTTACCATTATTATGCTGTACATGAAAACAAAACACTTTTCTTACTTCTACATCCTCGACGTATAAATGCAGAGATATACGCACCGGCTAACAAGGCATGTCGATCCGTCGAGTCAGACTCGAGCCGTGCAGGACAAGGCCTGTCTCGAGGACCATGCATGTTCAGCTCTCGACTTCCTTGACATCCCTTACTTCCTCCCCGTACTCGTATCTTGCTACTGCTGCTGCTGCTGCAGGGATGTCGAGTTATGCTTCTTAGCTTTTGCTTCCCTCTCCTTCTGCATGGCTGGATGGCTGGATGGCTGGCTGGCCTGGCCGGGTAGGTATGGCATGGAATGGAATGCGAGTGTACTTATGTACTTCGAGGTACACGACAGTTGCATACACAGCATGCATGCACACATGCATTAAGCTAACTCGCTGCACAAGCCAGTTCGGTTCCAAACAGCCCTTGTCTGCCTGTCTCTGTCTCTGTCGGTCGCTGCGTGTGTCTCAATCCCCGGTCCCTGCTCTTGGATCTGCCTGTCTGCCTGTCTGCCTGTGATACGCCTCGGTCGGGTCTTGGGATGTGCGGTAGTCAGAGCAGGCTGGTTGGAAGTCGGGGTTTGGCATGCATGCAGGCAGCGGTAAAGGTGATGGAGGATGTGAGTTTGGCATCTCTGCATCTCTGCATGTATGCGGCATGGGTCAGGTCGACAGATATGGATGAGTTTTCCCGAGTTCATTCCGAGATATCTACAGAGCACCTCAGTTACTGCTTTGCTCATCGTGCTTATTTACTTACTGCCAGCGACGCGATCATCGGCCGGGTAGTTATGATATGTCAGTCAGCATATTGCCTGCATGTCGCCAGCAGCCTCTGCATCCATCCGTCCGTCCATCCTCGACATACATACATACATGCATACCTATCTATCGACAGGCAGGCAGGTAGGCAGCGAGCGAGTCAGTCTGTCCGAAGCCTCGAAGGAAAAAAAAAAAAAAAGGTAAAATAAGAGAGCTCCCCTGTCTGCACCGGCGCCGGCGCCTGCCCAGGCTACAGTACATCTTACATACTAACTAATGTGCGGTATGTGCGCGCAGTTAAATAATTCAATAACTCGAGTCGCCTCAGCCGGCCTAGCTTAACTAACTGCGCCTTGCCTGCTGGCCATGCACGGCCGTTGACTTTATTTAAAGGGTCGAAACATCGAGGGTTCTAGACTTGCGTCGCTAAAAAGGGCCGGGCCTGGCTTGGGGGGGCTGTTTGAGCGTTCTAGAGCTGGCTGGACTGGGGGGGGGGGGGCGCTTTTCAGCAGAGATCTAGATCGAGACTGCCCGATGGGCTGGCTGGATGGGCGGCTGGCGATGGAGATGAAGGGGCGGGACGGGACGCGGTGGAGTGGTAGGTAAGTAGGTAGGTAGGTAGTTAGCTGGCTAGTGGGATAATTTGGAGATGCTCTAGATCGAGATGTCTATTGTACTTTTTTGACGGGAAGAGAAGAGCAGCGGTTGTTCTGTCGTTTGGGCATAGATTTTGTGATGTTTTTGACGATGGATCTTGGATCTTGAGTCGACTTAAGCTTATCTAATACACTGGCTAGCGGGAGGTTTATCTTAGTTAAGTCCGAGCTATAGATGCGTCACGTGGTGGGATCTAGGCTGGGACTTAAAAGGTAGTGGACGCCTTTTTGCTTCCATGGAACCATCTCAGGGACAGACAACAAACGAATGGAACAACGACAATAATATTTGATAAACGCACGAGACATCAGTTGAGTCGACTAGCTAACATGTCTAATCGCAGGAACCGAGAGTCATATGTCCGACCTGGAACCGGTTGTTCTTGATACACCGACCAGAGCAGCAGTTGTCGTTGCGCCCGCAGTCAGCCAGCCTCCTACCGCACGACCTGGCAGGACCACGCTTCCCTTGCAATCCCAACGAGTACTTCGGCATACACTCATACTGCCGCCTCTTCGAGCTCCACTTGCACTTCTCCACGCCAAGCTTGCAGTCAAAGCAGTTGTCACCCGGCGCGGTGACTTCACGCTTGGCCGGCTCGGCAGGCGCAGGTGTAGGAGCGTCCTTGTTCTCGATACATTCGCCGGAGCCACAGGGTCCAGGGCCGCCTTTCCTACGACACTTATGGTCCTCGAAGTCGCAGTAAAAGGCGTCGTCGAAGCATACTCCCTCCGGACAGTCGACTTGCTGCACGTCTCGCTTGAGTTCGCTGGCTGGGTTGGCGAGCACGGCCGCAGTGAGGGAGAGGAAAGTAAGCAGTTTGGTAATCTGCATGGTGGGCGTTGACCTTTTCGTGTGCTTTGAGAGAGCAAAATTCGCTGGTATCAAGGTATGTGCGTGAGGGTTTTAAGAAGGGCTGGTGTCGATCGTCGGCGGTGAGTGAATTGATATATCTCGTCCTCGATCCATCAGCACGGCATCAAAGCAGGTATTTATATCTTGATACAATGTGTTGCGGACGGTGCAGTGGGTGCTTCTCCATTGAGCGTCGTTTGGGGGGCGGGGAGGAGGTTTGGAAGACAAAGAGATGTCGCTGTTTCTGTTTGCTCAGGTGGTGAGGAGATGATCGTCTTGAAACTTCGGCACGAAGGAAGTTCTGCTCCGCTGTTATGCGAGATGTAAGGTTGGATCGCGAGGTATGGGGTACGCTCGTTCAACACGGGCCTGCTAGTACCCGCGACTGGTCTCACAGACATCACCATAACTCCTCGTTATTGCTCTCTATGACAACAGGTTGCCGTGCTACTCTTATTCTCACCTCGATGTTATCATCTGAGACGCTGGTAACAGCCGTCGGTCTTCGTCGGACGTTCCATGAGAACCTACCGTCTATCCATGATAGATAAGTGACATACCAGCCATGAAAGAAAATACAACTTGCAGAAGCTGTATCATCACCTCTTTGTTTACTTCGTTTGCTATTTCACTCACTCGCCTCCTGCCGCTGTTTTATGTCGAGGATATAAGGTCCTCGATGCACCACACGCCCCCCTGACATCATCCCACAAACGCCTTCCACCTTGAAACCAAACCCATCTGCCGATCCCCGAGAGAACATCTCACTGTCTTCCCCATAAAAAATCTCCACAACAACCTCCGACAACTTGTTGTTACAACTTACATCACTCCACTCAACATCCAGGCAGACGTCATCGTTACCATGCAGCTCTACAAACTCGGCGCCGTCTTTCTCCTGTCTGCCATAGTCGTAGCGGCACCTTCACCTGACCCCAATGGCCTCTTCAAGAGAAAAGGATGTACGCTACCGGGACAGGACTGCATTACCGACAGCCAATGCTGTTTTCGACAAAAATGTATTAGCCACACGATCAAGACGAATGCTCCAAGATGCGGACCATGGATATTTACCTGGAAGAGCCACAAGCATGGCTAGGGGAGGCTGTCTGTAATTTGGTTTCCTGGGGATTTGAGCTTTGCCCATGTACCTTTGGCTTATCTCATGATCAAAGGCCTCAATTGAAACAGACAATGCGCCTCTCATAGATCCTTAAGTTGATTCTCGTCATTCTTTCCATGCACTACTATGTATAATTTGCTTAGTCACACTAATTTTACTAATTTTAAATGTTCACGTGCATTACAGCTTAATAAGCACATTTCTTGGACTAACTTTCTTCCGATTTCCCATTTTGGGCACAAGCAGGAACATGCGCTAGTCCTAGTTAAGGTTAGGGCAAGATGCTTTTATAGTTACGTAAGCCGCGGGAGTCATAAAAATATTGACTGGTAACTTTGTAGTTGATCGGTTTATTCACGGGACGTTCCATGCAAAGAGCTCCAGCAGTAAACGAGAAGCCATTGATTTCTCCCGGTTAACCAGCCTGTGCTCGGCCGTTCTCTAATACTACCTCTATACCACCGCATTGCCTTAATCCGCCTGAAAAACGCATACAGATTTGTCCCCGCCGTGAGTCAGTTCAACGGGACTACTCCCCCACCACCCACGATAACGATAACTACCACACCATGGCTCCGAAAGGATCGAAACAGCGAGGGGGAGGAGCGCCGAGGGGCAATAAGAAGCGCGGAGAGGGCACATCCAGACGCAGAGATCCCATGATAGACGAGAGACAGCAGCCATTCCAGGCGGTGGTACGTTGATCACCATCCCACGTATTCTTACGGAAGTGAGCAGATAACTAACTATTCCCCTTAGGTAATTACCGATATATTTGAAACGCGATTTGAACCGTTCACACTTGAGAAACCAAGGGTACGTCATAGCTGTATACTGCCTTTCTATGGCGCGGGGCTTACGGAAACTTTTGATACGAAATAGTGTCTTCTTCCTATCGCAAATACCCTCTTGATTGATTATACCCTTGAATTCCTGTCCAATGCCGGAATAGAGGAGGTATTGCTCTATGCCGGCGCACATGCAGATATGCTAGAAACTTATCTCAAGTACGCCATATCTACCCCCCGTTTAGTTGGCGAACTCTCCATATACTTATATATCTATGCAGTGGCTCGAAGTGGAAATCAGACATATCACCTTTTACAAAAGTGCGGCTCATCAGGACAGCAGCAACTACGTTCGGAGAAGTCATGCGCGATCTACATGAGAAACATCTAATGAACGGTGACTTTCTGCTAGTTAACGGCGATGTTATTGGGAATATCCCGCTCGAGCAGGCATTGATCGAGCACCGTGCTCGGCGAGAAACAAACCGAAATGCCATCATGACCATGATACTTCGAGAAGTCGGGGAGTCGAATAGGGTTCGCAAGAGTGCTGATGCGCCGTTGTTTGTCATTGATCCTACCAAGGATAGATGTTTGCATTACGAAGAGCTTCCGTACCATTCACACGACGGATACGATCTGCCGTCGAATCTCGAGATAGACCCGGAACTCCTCGACGCCCATTCTGAGATTGATGTTCGAAATGATCTGTATGATTGCCGTATCGACATATGTACCCCTGAAGTCCTGGGTCTGTGGGCGGATAGTTTCGACTATCAGTCTCCGCGCACCCATTTCCTCCACGGTGTGCTGAAGGACTACGAACTTAATGGAATGACTATACACACCCACATTTTGAAGGACCACTATGCGACTAGAGTTCAGAATCTACATGCATACGACCTTGTTAGTCGGGATGTTATATCTCGATGGACATTCCCTCTGTGTCCAGATACAAACCTCTTCCCTGGATATACATATACATTTAAGCGGAATTTCGTCTATCAGGAGCAAGGTGTTGTGCTGGCTAGATCCGCAACCATCCATAGCCGGACTGTCGTCGGTAAGGATACAACTATCGGAGAAGGGGCTGTCATCACCAACAGCGTCATCGGCCGGAGGTGCAAGATCGGCAACAATGTTGTCCTTGACGGTGCGTATATATGGGATGATGTGGTTGTGGGCGAAGCAACGGAGATACGCCATGCTATTGTGGCCAATGGTTCAGTCATCGGAGCCAAATGCCGAATCGAACCCGGTGCGTTGCTGTCATATAACGTCAAGATTTCAAGTGGAATATCGATACCTGAGAGCAAGAGCATTACCACATTCCAACGAGACCCTGACCGGAAGGTACCGAATGATGCCAAACTTGTTGGTAAGGATGGTGAAGGTTTCGAATTCGTTTATGAAGAGGATGAGGATGAAGAGGAGATTGACTTCATCCCTGGCTTAAGTGAGTTTATTCTCCTAGAGGATACACAATCAGTCGCATATTCGACTAACCCTACTCTACAGTGTACAATATGGCTGAGCTTTCGCTGTCCGATGCATCGATATCGACTCTCACGTCAGATAAGACCGAGGACGGCGATTTTGGCTTCCGCTCAAGATCAGACAGTGTCAGCACAACGACATCTGACGATGAGGGACGGGACCAGTTCCATCACGACGCCGTCTCTAGCGTCTTCGATGGACTTAAAGAAGGTCTTAGCGCTGAGGTGGTGCAGCTCGAGCTCGTTGGTCTACGCATGAGTGCCAATGCATCTGAACACCAAGTCCGTCGTGCTGTAGTCATGGCGTTTATGAAATATATCCAGCACGTCACGGAAGCAGGCACCGTCGGCCTAGCTGATTCCGTTCGAGAGCTGTTCAAAAAGTACAAGGACACAATCATGCGAATTGTCTTTGATCATGACACCGACGACAAGCCCGACCAGGTAGACTTGCTCCTGCTATTCCAGAAGGATCTCACGGAGCGGAACAAGGGAGGTAACATCTTGCTTTTCACGGCGAAGGAGCTTTATGACTTGGAGATAGTAGATGCCGAAGCCTTCTCGCAGTGGTGGGAAGATGAGAGGTCAACGGCCACGCCTGCGATGGAGAGCGTCCGGACACAGACCAAACCATTTATAGACTGGCTTGAAGCTGAATCTGATGACGACGATGACGATGACGATGACGATGAGGAGGAGGATGATGATGATGATGAAAGCGAGTCTTGATCCTTCTTCTACCAACTCTACATGAACTAGGCAGCTCTATTAATTAGACCATCTCGTCCTTCCATCAACGTGTTATATTGTCTGCTCCATAATTAACGTGCCAACAAGAGTAAACCTGATGCGGCTCTGCGGCTCGTCGTAGTTAACTAGTTAAGAGAGAAAAAAAAAAAAAAGAAAACTTTTTATTTCCACCTCAGAATCTCAAAGACCGCAGCCTGGCAGGAAACGGGCATCAGGTTGTGTCATCCTCTCAGCTAAGGACAAGGATACGGTTTCAGGCCTCCACAGCTTTCATCCCGTCCAACAAAAACGGCCTGGAAGGTGATTCATATCGTTCGCGGTGGCCTGGCGCTAGTCAGCCGTATATATACATGATAATAATAGCCTTGTTCTTTGCTGGTACCCCAGCTGCCGCTCTAACAAACTAACCTTCCACCAGCCGTCCACATCCACCACGAGATCTCCGTCACCCGCGCCAGTCATCCAGTCAGCCTGTCGGTCAGTCACCATTTTCACTTCTTCCTCTGCTGCCGGCCTCCTCGCCCGCTGCTCCTCTTCGCCCGTCTGCCTGCTGCTGCCTGATATCGGGCATGCGATAGTGAATATCTCAGGGGCTCGGTTTAGTTACTCACTCGTCTAAAATAGAGACATCCTTCGCCTCCCCCACTAGTTAGCTCTCTGCTGCGATACGAAGGTTAGTGACGTTGGTAGCAAATATTTATCAGTTCCCTTTGTCGCTACCAGGTGAGCTTCACTTTTTTCCCTGCAAGTGACAACCGAGTTGATAGCTGACAAAGGTGATACCTTACAGGAACCAAATTAACCGCCGGCTATATACCGAGATCGATCCTCTGGAGCTGTGCCTTGATCGCTCTTTCGCTGGGACGTTTGCTGTTACACTCAAGTCCCCGTGAAGTCGACTTCTGCTAGGCTGTGAAGCGACGGGAACATCTTCAACCATGGACTCAGACGATGACTTCATGACGGATGGATCGAGTGGACAGGAGTTTCTTGATACACAGGACAGCGACAACGAGAGCTTAGGCGGCGGTAAGTCGGCCCATCAATCAGGCTTGTTACCTGCATAGCTATCTTGGTTGTTTCATGGTATTGGTCAGATCGGATCTAACTGGACTGACTATAGATTTCGAAGAAGAACTCGGAGGTTCCTTCAACTACGAGAAAGATATCAAGCCTGTACGGCAGCCGTACGAGACCGATTCTACCGCCCTCAGTCCAAACGATATCACACGGGAACAGAATGTGCAGATTAATGAAGTCTCCTCTATACTCGGCTTGCCTGCGGAAAGCGCTGCTATCCTGCTTCGGTTCAGCAGATGGAATAGAGAGAAGCTGATAGAGTCATACATGGACCATCCCGAGAAGACTCTTGAAGACGCAGGCCTTGGACCGACCTTCTCGTCAAACCCAAAGACTGAAGTTATGCCTGGTTTCATGTGTGATATCTGTTGTGAAGACGGACCGGATCTTCAGACGTATGCAATGCGTTGCGGACATAGGTTCTGCGTGGACTGCTATAGCCACTACCTGGGGCAGAAGATCAAAGAAGAAGGTGAAGCTGCGAGAATAGAATGCCCCCAGGATCAGTGTCATCGGATCATTGATTCGAAGTCACTCGATTTACTTGTCGGCGAGGATGTGAGAGATCGGTAAGACACTCTGGGGTAAACGTTTTGAGCCTATACCTCGTTATTGACGATAGCGACTGTTACTCCCTTCTAGGTACCGAACTCTCCTGATACGTACATACGTTGATGATATGCCAAACCTGAAATGGTGTCCAGCTCCTAACTGCGAATTCGCCGTTCGTTGTGGTGTCAAGGAGCGAGATCTGGATCGTATCGTCCCAACGGTACACTGTGCTTGCTCGTTCGCTTTCTGTTTTGGATGTGACGTTGGCAACCACCAGCCATGCCCCTGTGCATTAGTCAAGAAATGGGTCAAAAAGTGCAAGGATGATTCGGAAACGGCAAACTGGATCTCAGCCAACACTAAAGAATGCCCCAAATGTCATTCCACGATCGAAAAGAACGGAGGCTGCAACCACATGACATGTAGAAAATGCAAGCATGAGTTCTGCTGGATGTGTCTCGGCCCCTGGTCCGAGCATGGAACTAGCTGGTACAACTGCAACAGATTTGAAGAAAAGGGCTCCTCTGATGCACGGGATACACAGACCCGCTCTCGACAGTCGCTTGAGCGGTATCTTCACTACTACAACCGCTTTGCTAACCATGAACAATCAGCCAAGCTTGACCGAGACCTGTTCTTAAAGACAGAGAAGATGATGGTAAATCTTCAGTCTCAATCCGGCCTTTCTTGGATCGAAGTACAGTTTCTTGACACCGCGTCACGTACACTCCAGGAGTGTCGACAGACGCTTAAGTGGACATATGCCTTTGCCTTCTACCTTGCGCGCAACAACTTGACTGAAATCTTTGAGGATAATCAGCGGGACCTTGAGATGGCCGTCGAGAACCTGAGCGAAATGTTCGAGAAGCCCATCTCCGAACTAGCAGGGTTGAAAGTTGATATTCTTGACAAGACCTCTTATTGCAATAAGCGACGAGTTATCCTTCTTTCCGATACAGCTGAAAATCTAAAAGCCGGTATGTTTACCTCCACCTTTACGATACTTCCAGAGATTCTGACCCCTGAATGCTGTTCAAGGTGAATGGTCTTTCATTGTAGATCTGAAATAATAAAAGAAAATACTCCCCCCCTGGTCGCTGGCACGCCCATGCTCCTGAACCTCCTATCTCCTTATACCCGGCATACGCTTGACCTTATTTTTAACTCATACGCTATGCCTAGCCATTCATTACGACTACTTGACCTTTCCTAGCGGCTTGCATTTCCCCTCTCCCGTTGTTTATTTTCCATTCTACATTGTTCTTGAAAAAAGATCCATTGTTCATGAATCACTTTCCTTACGAGCATGGTAAAATCCATTATTATGATCACTTGCATTGCCATCTTCCTGAGCAAACTATTTAACTCAATATTATAACCCAATTTAGATATCTATATCTGCACCCCTAGTTGGGATATACATACAACACGTCCCCTGTCATTTGAACCTTGTGGTTCAATCCCAAGTCTATCCATCAATTCCATGAACCCAAGGAAGATAGAACCGGAATAGATCCTGTCTAAACAGAAGAGCCTGCTATTTTTCTGTCAGCCATTATACTACTAATAATTAGAAAGCTCTTGCAACCGCTGGCATCTTTCAATACGAAGCCTTATCAATTGCCCATCTCTTGCCCTTTTTGTCAATTAGCCGAGGTAAACTAGCAGGAACTTTATTTCTCACGTGACACATTTCTTATCAGATCAAAAATATCCAAAACATCTTTGAGCCAAAGAATTCAGAGAAAAAGGAGAAAAAGAAAAGAAAGCGGAAAAGGTTGGGAAAGATCAGGTCAACTTGAGTCAGTCCTCGTTGAAATCAGCTCTGGGATTAAGTCAGGTCGAGCCAGGATGAAAGATAATGCACGAGATTGTACGGACACCCTCTATGAAACGTGGAAGACCGGCCATGGGCAAGGAGAGAGCTTCCATCGCTAGTTATCCTTGCAGAGCACAGAAGCCAGGAGGCGAAAAAAAAAAAAAAAGCACGGAACTTTCTTATCAGATTTTCACAGCACTCCACACGCACAAGGAGCAGAGTAGCGAAAATCGGCTGGGAGGGAAGGGCGTCAACGCAGCCAGCCGAGGAGCACAGGAGGGCGGAGCCGCGTATGGGACGGACACTTTTGTTCCTCCAATACCTAACCATGGGCCTAGAGGCCCCGTTGGTACCGCGCGCGCTCCTCCTGCACCTCTGTATCTCGGCCGTGTTTCTGGGGGAAGATCTGATAACTAATTGATTTTGGCGGTTTCCGGCACACCCGTTGCGCGCTCAGTACGTAAACTTGCTGGGATTAAGGGTGCATCAACATCAGAATACCAACCGGGGGGCCTGCCCTTTGGGAGAAGGATGGGGATAGCTGGCTCGTTAAATCCGTTGTCCGAGGTGGATAGTCGGAGCTTTCGTTCAAGCGCGCTCACTCCGGATCCGGTGCTAAATAGGCTGTTGTGCAGGTTGACATATTACTGCTCGAAGAGCAAGCTGTAGAGGGGCCTGCTGAGACGGAGAGTGCGCCAGAGCACTTCGTATCCGGCCATCGTAGAGGGGAGTCTTGGTTGTTGCTGTCGACCAAAAGGCCAGCCAGCGCTCTCCATCCATGTAATAAATAGAGCGGAGGTCCGCCTAGTCGATCGGAGAAAAAGAAAACTGTCAAATTTTTTTGGCTGAAAAGAATATCTTCGTTAGCGACGCCTGCTCTGATTCACTTCTTCACTTATTCAGACCATCGTCTCACCTGATACCTTTGCTCCAAGCGCTGCCTTGCTGGTCGTTCGGTTGTTGTTACGGAGCACTTGTTGGTTAACTAGGTAGTCTTGCACCTTTATCTTAGCAGGGAAAACTCTCTCCGTCACCACTCTATTTTTTCCCATCCTCCGACTTTTCAGCTCTCAATCCTCGACTTGGCTCCAGTAGTCTAAGGGACAGTCCGGTCGAAGAAATCCCTCGTCTTCAGTCTGAGGATTCACGAATCTTCGGGAATCCAGTCACCGTGAAGGTCACGGTTGAATCAGGCGGCTCCGGCTGCATCCACGAGCCTTTCATGGCTTCTACAGAGCATCATCCTGTTGCGGCTGAAGAATTTGAGTATGTCTTGACTCTCAGACGGTGTCGAACTGTTGCATTCAGCAGTATATTGATTCTCCTTGTGCTGGTGGCGGCAGTGAGGAGAGGGGACTGATTTTTGCTGACCGTTGGCTTCTTCATCTATAGCTATGAGGCACTCCCAGAGAACTACACCCTCGGCCATAATATGCTGGCAGGCGCCTTTGCTGGCATTGCAGTACGTCTTTTACTGCCTTCCGCATTGATATAGATGAGGCTATATACTGGTGCTAACTTGGACCGCTTGTACAGGAGCATTCGGTCATGTATCCGGTAGACTTGCTGAAGGTATGCTTCTCAAGACGGAGGAATTGATATTGGTCATTCATTTGCTTTACTTGGGCATAAAATACTGATTGAGCATGCTCTTGAACCGTTTAGACTCGAATGCAAGTCCTAAATCCCGGTGCGGGCGGACTTTACACTGGCCTCACACACGCCGTATCAACCATTTCACGTATCGAGGGTTGGAGGGCGCTATGGAAAGGAGTTTCTAGCGTTATTGTGGGAGCTGGTATGATTATTCCAGGATTTCACACTGCTACGAGCCGTTAGAAGTGCGACTTGGGCCGTATTTGCGAACGAGAAGCTGATATAAATTGCGCTGGCACAGGACCCGCTCACGCCGTATATTTTGGCACATACGAAGTCGTGAAAGAGCTTGCCGGCGGAAATGTCGGCTCAGGCCACCACCCACTTGCTGCAGGTCAGTCATTTACTCTCGCTATAGGCACTACTTGAAGGAGTATTAACTTTGTATTACTAGCTCTGAGTGGTGCTGCCGCAACTATCACAAGTGATGCGCTTATGAACCCATTCGATGGTATGTAAAAATACAAATGCGCCAAAATCCCAAACTTACCAGCTAATTTTTCTCTACAGTTATCAAGCAGCGCATGCAAGTTCACGGATCGACTCATAGAACCCTTGTCCAGTGCGCCAGGACAGTTTATCGAACCGAGGGTCTTCGCGCCTTCTATGTCTCCTACCCAACTACATTGTGCATGACTATTCCGTTCACGGCCGCCCAATTCATGGCATACGAATCGACGTCCAAGATAATGAACCCGACGAAACGATATGATCCCTTCACCCATTGTATCGCTGGTGGTCTGGCGGGTGCTGTTGCCGCCGCTGTTACGACTCCTCTAGATGTTATCAAGACTGTCCTACAAACAAGAGGTACAGCGCAGGATCCTGAGGCAAGAACCGCTAAGGGGTTGTTCAACGCTGCAAAACTCATAAAGAATCAGTATGGCTGGGCCGGATTCCTCCGTGGAATGCGCCCAAGAATAATTGCCACAATGCCTAGCACTGCTATTTGCTGGTATGTTTACACTAGTTCCCCCTCCTCTTGGTCTTGTCCAGCTACTCTACACATTGATAAATCGGGATACTAATCTTATATTACAGGACTTCTTACGAAATGGCCAAAGCATACTTCAAGCGGATAACTTCCGAAGAATCCCATTGATAGGTATGCTGAGCACGATGAACCCCATAATAAACCCTCTCACTGTGGTTGCAGTGATCGAACATATCGACTCCCATTTATCTTTTTACCTTTAATTTCGTTTTTTTGTCTTTTCACGCTGTCATCGTCGGCACGATCTACAGAAGGACGGAAAGGGTGGGATCCTAAAAAGTTTACCATGGGATGGTTTCTCTTCTCCGGATTAGACTTGTGTTGCTAGGTATCTGTTTAATGTTCCTTTTGTGTCTTCTGTTATATTAGTGTCGATGGCGTTGTTTGTCGTCTTTTTCAAAAGGGTATGGGATATCTCCCGCGATTGTCAGTTCATCTTTATAGGAAACTTTGGGAAAGATCTGTATCTTCATGGAAGGGATATTTTTATCTTGACCGTTTTAGCACTGCGCTCCTGACTTGGATGTTCATTTCGATATTGGTCCCTAGTTATTATCCCAGTTATTATCATGGTATTACCAATACATGTGCTGCTCTAAGACGGCATATAAATCTTGGATCGGAATGATGTTCTTTCTTTTATGTAAAGCTATTGAAGTTTTAGCGTGCTTCTTGTTTAATCTATCATAGGATTTCCCTGAGCCACATTTGAAACCCGATGGCTCCCAGAAGGTGGTTTATCTCGGATACTTGCATTGTATGACAACTCATGCATCATGCAGCAGCCTCAATATTCTCAAAGTTAAAGCTGGGTTGTCCAGGGACTGCGCTCTGTGCAACAGGAGACAACCCTTCTTTCCTAACCCCTTCGAGATTGGTTCCTGCGTTCCCACCCTCTTCAACGGCGATGATCTCAACTTCCTTGGCTCCCGTAACCTTCTTCAAGTTCCCAGTAATGTCATGGAGAACTTGTACCTCATCAAAGGGCATTTCTCGGCTGAAAACATCCTCCGGCTTCTCATTGCCTTGAATCAAACGTTTCTTCAGAGTTTGAACGTAGGGCATTGCTTTCTTCATCTCACCCAACTTGCCAACTTTGGCATTGAGTCCCTTATCATCAATAGTCAAGTTGACAGCGTCAAAGGCTTCACGGACAAGTTCAATGTACTTATCTTGCCATGCTGGGAACTTCCTGGAGACAAAGATGGTAATCTTCTTAGGGTTTCGGGGGTCAAATTTAACGTTCTTGCCCTTCGAGATTCTCTTTATGAAGGCTGCTTCCGAAGAAGTGATGTTCGAGGTTGTGGAACGGATATAGACAAGAGCTGCTGATAGGCCAGGGACAGGTTCGGGAACATCGGCAAAGCGAGCATTTTGGACAGAGTCCGTCTATTGTTGCGTTAGCCATATGTCTTCGTCAATGCTGGTAATATTGGCCAAATACCTTTTTGAGAACATCAAGCCACATATGTTCCGCCCAGTGAGGTGCAATTGGGCTTATCAAGAGAGCTTGCAGCTCGACATATCTAAGGATCAGGTCACGGTGCATGCCAATACCGGAAGCGGTGGTCACCTCACGGTAGAAGTCCTTTGCACTAGTGAAATCGTAAAGGGCAGACTTCAAAGCTAGTTTGAAATTGGTGCTAGACAGATGTGTTAGCATTTTCAAGTTGGCAATAGGTGCTTCAAACTTACTCGGCATAGTGCTTCCTTGCCTCTCTTGCAAGTGCGTTCATTTCATTATCAAATACTTTGTCCAAGAAGGCATCTGTAGGTCCGGTGCGGAGAGACTTGTCTGCAACAGTTTCCTCAATCCACTCTTTAAGAGTGTACATGCGGAGGATATTGCTGTTGGCCACAGTTTCATCAAAGTTTGCATCTTCAATGGCATCACCAGCATCCGCAAAAGCGATACGGGTGGCATCTGCACCGTACTTATCAACTGCATCCCTAAGGGTTAAGAAGTTTCCAGTGCTCTTGCTCATCTTTTCTCCGTTGAGAAGAAGATGTCCGTTGGCTCGGACACCTCGAGGCCAGTACTCTCGCGGGAATAGGGCAATGTGGACGTAGAGGAAGAATGTAAGATGATTTTGGATGAGGTCCTTCCCTGAAATTCGAACGTCTAGTGGGTACCAATATTCAAATTCCCGCCTTAGAGTCAAAAGGGATTCCTTGCTGATTCCACTCTTCTGGACTAGATCATCGTCAAGTTCACGTCTGGCGAAGATATAATCCCAAACGTCATTGGTGATTTGCTCGGGCTTGATGCCAAGCTTGCCAGGCTCCTTTCCATATCGGTCTGCGTGGAGAAGGTGAGAGATGGTGTAATAGCACTGGTATATAGTACTGTCACTCAAACTCTCAACGAGGAACTGGGGGTCCCAGGGTAGTTTGGATCCCAAACCGTAAGTTCTAGCACAAGCCCAGCGGTTGAGCCAGTCGAGATTCTTTTCGAAACCATGTCGTGTTTCTTCGGAGTAGGTATTCAAATCATCTGTCACATACTTGAGTGTGGTGCTTTGCCATTCAGGGTCGTTTTCACCATAATTGAGGAACCATTGGCCAAGATATGCAACAACACAGTCATCGCCACTTCTACTTGTGACTTTACCCATAGGGTCAGCGAATGGGAAGGCGTCACCACTCTTAATGAGAGAATTGCGAACCTTCTCTTTAGCGGTTTGAACTGGCTCCCCCTTGAATTCACCAACAAGCATTTTGCCTTTGTAGAAACCTTCAGTATATGCTAGATCCTTGGCTTGAGCAAGCTGGACGGTGTCCTTTGGCGAGTTTATCTTCAGCTGCTTCACTAGAGCTGGAGCTGTGAGATTGCCATAAGTTGGTGTTTCGATAAGTGGGTGGATTTCAAGTTCCGCCCACTCCTTCTGAATGCCGTAGTAGTCGGCTTTCTTTGCGAGGTCCGAAATGGTTGCAAAGTCATCAGGACTGTCGGATGGCACACAGCTAACAACACCAGTTCCCTTGTTAGCAGACACAGTTTCCATGGGAAGAATTCTGACACCCTCTGTGTGGAATGAAAGTGGAGCATCGACAAGAGTGCCAATGAGTGCAGAACCAGGGGCTTCAACAACTGGAGGAAGTTCATCCTGGGATTTGGGAAGGTTGTTAACATCGAAAAAGATACCCTGGAACGCCATGTTCCAAGCTGCTCTCTTTGTAACAACGTAGTATTCTTTCTCCTTAACCTTGAAAATGCCATATGATATGGCAGGGCCCACGAAACAGCAAGTCTGTCCATACATGGTCTCGGGCCGCAATGTTGCAGGAACAAAATAAACATTGGCATCCTCTTCAATTTTTCTCTGGACGATCTCCTTTGCCTTTGGAGACCACTCCTTGACCCTAAGTTTCATTGCAGTGTATTCCTGGGGCCCAACACCCTCTCCATCAAGTCTGTCATGGTCCATGCAAGGTTGTCCATCCTTTGGTGAATATATTGTGTACCGACTCCCGTAGAGAATCTTGCCCATTTCATGCAAACGGATCATCTGCCAACGAACAAAGGAATCAAAGTAGGGATTGACATCAGTTGTTACCATCTGCCTTCTCCAGTCTACTCTTGCGCCCATGCTGTCAAGATCTCTAATCCAGAGGGGTGGAAAGTGCTGAAGCCAATGCTCTGGATCCGCAAATTTGTGAACTTCCTCAAGGGGTATGCCAAGAGCCATCATAATTTGGAATTGGTATTTCAGCTTAACTGCTTTGCTGGCGGCTTTGCTCTTTTTACCAGAGAACTTCGACAGATCCTCTTTAGCAATCTCCTGAGTTGGAGCAGGGGTAGCATCAACTTCCTCCTCCTCCTTATAATTCTCAAAATATTTGCCAAATTTTTTTATGTCGTCCACCAGCTTGTCCGCACACGCGCGAATAGGCATACCAGTACAATGGAATCCGAGGGGAAACAAAGCCCGTTTTCCTTCCAATCGTGCAACTCCGGTCATGAATTCAATCTTGCTCGCCGTGAAGCTGTGTCCGGCATGGGGAGTTCCATTCATATAGGGGAAAGCCATGGTTCCAAAGAACTTTGGGTACTTCTCGTGCAGCTCGGCCGATGTCATGCTTTGCGCGGGGATTTCTGAGAGAGATGGAGCATCCACCTCGAAGACCTTTTTCTCCTTCCATACTGCCTGGTATTTCTTCTCCAGAGCAATGAGCGTATCTCTTTTCTCTGTCTATGATACTGATCAATACCCATAGTCAACCATTGGATGAAGCGGGGGATTGCAGGGGTCTAATAGCACTCACATTCTCGAGTTTCAAAGTGTTTTTGGAGCTGTCAAGCGCGACAGCGGCAGCCGCAGAGACAGAGGCGGCCATGCTGGCGAAGATATAGAGATACCTTCAATTTCAGCTTCTCAATCTTGGACTTCTTCTCCTCTATCGAAATTTACACGATGATTATACGTGGGGGTTTTCTTATCAAGATGATGACTCAGAAAATCTGGGAGTCACGTGGAGATTTTCCATATCGGTATCGGTGTTTATTTCTTCCGAAATCCCAAAATTCTCGAGGTCCTGTCGATGTCGAAGCTGGAATAATTGAACGATACCAAAGCAAAGCGAGGCAGGAAGCCAGCGTTGTTTTCGTTCACCTTCTTGTTAATTGTTATTTGTTTGAGATTATACTCTAATTGCTGTTGCGGGAAAATTCCCGGTTCAATCTATCACAATGGTTTCAATTCTTCGGAGGATGAGGGCCTTGAAAGCTGTAGGTCCCTTTTTAAGTCTTGACATTCAAGTTTTCAATTATATGCTGACTTTGACGCTATCCTTCTAGAGGGTATGTGGATCTTCTTTAGTTGATATTATATGAATTGAGAAGGATTTCTAGCGGTATAGTTGCGATTGAAGCTAATCTCTAACTGTTATGACGGATAGCTTCTTCATATCAGAGTCGGTCTTGGAGCTGCAATTCTACCCGCTCAATCGGCCAATGGAACTTCGACCATACCCCAAGTCACTCGCCTCCATCTTACATATTACAAGAACATGCATGAGGGCCATCACGGAGCCCGAAGATTCTGGCGCTTATGTCTGCCCCGATTAAAATACTACAACCCTGGCGTGGGGATGACCGTTAAACAACTAGATGACGAAGCTGGACCTGCAATATTATCCATATACTCGGCCAAACCTGCTGATGGATCGGCTGCGGCAACAACGGGGACTCTCGATAGCTATGCTCCGCCCCCGACAGAGTCGGAGATAGTCAAGGCCATCGATGTGAAAGGCAAGGACGTTGAACAAATATGGGCAGCCTTTAAAGCAGCAACTAAGGCCGAGAATGTGCCGGTAGCAGAAGAAGATAAGAAGGAGATGGAATTACAAGAGCAATTGAACGCCCAGAGTGAAATCGATCGACAGCGAGTGGCCATGGTTCGCAAGGCGAAAAAGGACCAGGAAGCCATGTTGGAGGCTGCAAAGGCAGCAGTTGCCAAACAGAGGGAGGAATAATGATTTACATGAGCCCCGATTTTCCTTCCTATTCCCTTTTTATTCTGTAATTTACCTATTGACTTACTCCTTTTCACTGTTTATTCGCTTAAGCACCCTGGAGGAGGGAGGCTGCTTAGTGTTAGCATGGGGTGATCGATGCTGGTAAGGAGTTAGTTGGTTTTCCTTCTTGGTCTGTATATTAGAAACTAGGCATATTGGATTGCCTTGATAGAAACGCATTACTCAGACACCGGGCCCGTTTTGACAATAACGTACAAGTGTTTCCCGAGGAAATTGTATTAGCAAAATAAAATACATTAATCTTCAGAATAAGGGAAATGAAAGAAAACAAGTGAAGAAACCTAGTATCCGGCCGCAACGTCGCAAAAGCGCAACCAAAGAAGACAGCAAAACTCAATGCAATGTACAGTACATATACCTGGCCCAAGGTATATGAGATGGAGAGAAAGGGCATGCAATATGAACGGTAGCTGAACGGAGATGGGTAAATGCATGCTGAGATATAATGGCACCAAATATCAAAGGTAGGTATTCTCAATGCTGACTATTTCATTAATAAGTTCATGGCATGTGTGGTAGTTAGGAGGTACTAGTTAGGGTTATTAGGAGCGGTCAGGGGTATAATTGGTTTCACCTAGCATTGTTTCACCAGCGGGAACTACCGGGGCCGTGGGGGTAGCAGCAGGAGCTAAGGTTTGGGACGACGGCGCAGCAGATGCTGCGGCCTGCTGTGCTGCTCTATTTGAACTTGCAGACTGTAACCTCTGATCTAAAGCCTTGAGTGCGAGTGCCCTCCGTCGTTCAGCTTCTTCCCTCTTCCCAGATCTAGGTGTTCCACGGACGTTATTATTCAACAAACTCGGAAGACCAGCTTCTCCACGCGCCAATACCTGCTCATTCCCAGAAGCGACGTCTTCTGCTGAGAATGGGGTGCAGATACGGACGGCCACTAGAATAGCGAATATTCGCTCAGCAATGAAGTTGATAGGTGGCTGTATGGCATCTGGGAAAAAACATGCAAAGGCAAATGTGTCACTGGCATCACCTTTGATTCCCCGGCCACTGGTGGAGGTACCCGAGAGATCAGGCTGGTATTTGAAGAACCGCAGGAATGTCCAACTGATGAGCAGTCCAAGCCAACTGAGATGGAATGCAACGTCTGTTCCGAGAAAGAGTGCACCAATAAAGTTGAGAAGGAGAAATATAGCCGGGAAATGTTTCACTCGTATCTTTACGAGGCCTCGGAGAATGGTAACTGTATGCTCGGGGACTAGCTGCTTGAAGGCCACCAGGAATGAGGACTGCACAGCAATTCCACCACCGATTCCTTTCATGCTAAAAGAAGGCCAGGAAGTTAGCGTATTGTAGAACACTGTTATTAGAGGAAGACTCGAAAGACCCAAGAAAAAGTACATACGCAATCTCAGGCTTGCCGCGGATCGCAGCCGTGGTCAAGTAGAGCAACACCATGGACAAATTGGAGGCCAAGGCAAGCACTAGAATGAATTTCCCAAACTCCCTCGAGCCCCAGGCCCGTTCCAAATATTTCCCTCCGTAAAACATTGTAGCTCCATTAATCAACAGAGTGACAATATTCTGTTCCACAAAGGTTGCGCATATAAGTGTCCATGGATAAAAGAGGATCTTCGACGGAATGGCGAGGAGGTATGGCACCGCAGAAAACGAGGACGATGATTCACCAACAACATAATGCTTGTATCTTGTCGCCGTATGCAAAATGAAGAGCACCGCTATGCTTGTGAGAATTGCGCGGGTGACGGGGGGGATGTTGATTCGAAGCATGGTGGTCATAGCAGGAGCCGGCCGTCTATGGAGCAGAGTAGCGGGTGTGATGGCCTGCTCGCGGCGTACGGCATGAGAATGGACAGCCTGATCACCTCGTCCCGTCGTATCCTCTCTCCCACTCTCGTCTTCGTCGTCGTCGTCTTCGTCGTCTACTTCGCTTGTCCGTCGGCTGCTTCGCATTCGTCAAAAAAAAGGAACATTTCATAAACACGCTTTTTTTTTGGGGGGACCTTTATGTCAGTCACGTGGTGCATAAATCCGCCAGTGCCTAATCTGGACATTTCAACCTCGACCTTTTTCTTTTTCTTCGACTTCAACCGCAATTTCACTCTTCGCCTTCTTCGCCTTCTTCAACCTCTCCAAAGCCTCTTCGCTCTCGCGCCTCGCCTCGCACGCCAGACCTCTGCGCCCTCTACAGCTGCCTGCACACCGTGATTCCAGGGGGATAAGACGTTTCTGAGCTCCGTTGTCCCTGGCGCTTATCTAAGCAGGGGCATTAAGCCGCCACTGCTGCGCCAAGCCGCGCTCAAACTGCGAACTGCCGCTGTATTTCTCCAACTCGAACCTCCCAGCGCAGTCGCAGCGCATGATCATATTCTCCGACTCTTAAGACAACTCATCTCACCCGTCCTGAGGCGCCTCAGAACCTGCAGCCTCTTTCTTCCCGACAAGATCCCGAGTGTGCGCACGTCGGCCAGACCAGCTGGTAGGGCCCGAAAGCTCCACACCAAAGGAAAAACCACTGCGCAACCTTGAGGCCCAGCAAGCAGCTTCGTGATCAACCCTCCACAAATCAGCATTTGTGAATGGTTGAATCCTTGCCTCTCCGCGTTGGCATCGAAACTTGTCCCTATTTTACTTCCTGCTGCAAACATTTCCGTCTTTAGGACCAGCAAAAACCTTGCTTCCGCAACGCTTCTTCTGGCTGCCGCCCTTTTGACCGCGCCCACCACTCTTTCTTGTCCCAGACAGACAGACAGCTCGACAACGAAGTCCAGCCTACTTCACCAGCCTGAGCGACAGCTTCCCCGGTTTCTTGTAGGGATTGGAAGGACCTCCTCGACTTGACCATTCGGAGTATCCCGCTCTTCTTAGCGGCGGCAGTTTTTCGCATTCCCTGCTTGCATCTTCACTCGCCCAGTTCCGCCTTATTTTTTTTTTTTTTTCTTTTATTTCAGCATTTTTTGCGCCCCAAGCTTCTCCATTTTGTGATATGGTCAATATCCATAATTACCTGGAATATCTGAACATTGACCTCACCGTGGTATATGAAAAATCGCCATGGCAGGTGGCGCGCTCACTTCTCACCATGTAAATTATTTAATATGGAGGTTAGTACATCTTTCTTTGGTTGCTTCACTCTTTTGTTCTCTTCGGCGCGACGCTGCGTCCAACTCCGCGTGTAAAAAACGATGACAGTTTGCATTGCTGACAGTCTTGATATTCGATAGATATTTGCAAGAATCAGGTTTGTTGAAACATGAAATTGACGTGTCAGTGGATGTTTGCGGCTAAGCTAAACCCTCATTCTAGGCCATGGAGAAGCAGCTGTCATGCTCCAGCGGGCGTGGAATCCTAATCCACAAAACCTGCCATTTGCACCCTACATACAGTCACACGCACTTGTATCATTAGTACAGAAGGGCCTTCAATATCATGACCTTGAACGATCGGTAGACCAGGTAAGTCTATCCCCAGTGTGGCACAGCTAGCGGTGGCGACCTTCAAGTACTCACATGTATACCAAGAATGGAAATATAATACCCGAAGTACCAACGTCTTTTTTTGGGCCCCTTTTGGACAAACCCAGTTCGCCTCGGACAGCAGATAAACAAAGCATGGCAAATGGGACTGTTGGCGAAGAAGCTTCCACTCCACCGTCGCCAAAGGCTTCTTCTCGCAAACCCGGACAAGAAGCTGCAGCCAATGGACACATTCAAGGTGATCAAACTTCCAGCAAAGCTGGTGATGGAGCCGATCATGAAGATGGCGATACGGCAATGACATCTGATGCGCCTGTCGCAGCTGACAAGCAACAGCCCGAGGAAGCGCATTCTAAGATCCCGAAATCGCCGTCTCGGCCATCATCACCCGCAGTTGAACCGGTGGTCGACGCCGACGGGGACATCGGGATGTCCGCACCACCAACTCCTGTTTACACGCTCACAAACGGACAAAGTGTTGGAGTTCAGATTGCACCTCCAAAGGCCATCGATTTAACAACGGACACTATTCTGTTAGATATTGGTGCCAAAAATCATGTCATGAAGACAGCTTGGCGGCCCGGTGATTCACTTTTGGTTGGAGCCAGTGCAGAGTCATACTGCGGGCTTTGGAAACTAACAGGACAACGCTCGTCGACTACACCGGGGCATGAAGTACTGACCAGCACAGCAAACGTCACCGCCATGGAGTGGGAGCCGACAGGCAAAACATTAGCTGTTGCGACATACTCCGATTTTGAGGGCACTGTTGTTCTTTACGGTCCACAGGGAAAGATGATAAAGACCTTGCCTTGTATGCCTGGCTTAATATCTGGACTTAGATGGTCTGGAAACAGAGATCGTATTATCTTCACGGTATCCGATGGCAGTCAGTCTAAGCTGCTACTGTGGGATAAGGAGATATCAACCACCGAGTACATCAACAGCCAGCTTATTGATGGTGCTATATATGAAGTTCTGTGGGTAGAAGATGAAGAGGTATATGCCTGTGGAGATGGAGCTGTGTACCAATTCCGCGTCACGAATGAGATTGAACTATCCGAAACCTTCCGTTGGGAGGAATACCCTCAGGAACCATGGACGCTGATCAAGTCGATACAGTGGAAGGAATCGAGCGTGGTTGCCACAGTATCGACATCTGCTACGACGTCTAATATCTGGATACCTAGTCATGACATAAAAGTTGAATCTGCACACCATGGAATAATCACATCTCTAGAGTTCAGGCCGCTACCAAAGCCTCACTCCAGTCCTCAAACCCTAGCCAACGGAACTGGAAAGGACCCTGCACTAATTTTGGCTACTTCTTCCATGGACGAGACACTTAAGATTTGGAGCATTGATTGCACTTCGAGAACTGCGAGTTGTGTCCATCGGCTTTTCCTCGGCTCGTCATTACCAGCACTATCATCCGCTTTCTCCCCGGATGGTTACGCAATCGCAGCTGCCAGTCAGGATAAGTTATTCATTTGGAATGCAGAACGGGGAGGTACACCGATGGCAAGCTGGCCTATTCCCAAGGATGGGACTAAGGATGAAACCAACTCGGATGAAGGCAATGGCACTGTTAACGGGATCCAATCGGCCCTTGACCGTCCGCTCTCATGGGATAGTGACGGAAAGAAGTTGGCTCTTGGTTTCGGAAACACGGTATGCACTAACTCTATCACCCTTCCATATCTTATATCCTGCTAACAGTCAAGGTGCAGATTGCAATTATTAACCTTCAACGATAATGGCAACTTTTTTTCGTTTTATACACAGGAACCCCCAGAACCTTGATATATACATTGATGTCCCGTCAACTCCGTTTTACCCTCCCTCCATTATCCGTCGACCTCTAATAGACGAGAATTAATAATACAATTTTTGTATACAAAAAGGAGGGGAAGAGAGCGAAAGAGAGAGAGAGAGAGATAGGGCTGAGAGAGGTGTAGATATCACTACCAGCACTAGCTCGTTGAGCGAGCCCGAAAACCGTCAGTTGCATCGTTCCACCCTCGCATCCAGGCGCCTAGCCCGTCTATCAGGCCATCTCTCTGCTCTTGGAGCTTGTCCAGCTGCTCAAAATACTTTGAGCTCTTTCCTCGTGGTTTAGCTGGCCTTTTTAACACTGGATCTAAATGGCTGTCGCTATCATTTTGGCTCTTCCAATTACTTAACCAGGAGTCGAGTCCAGAGACAGTGCCACGCATACACTCCAGCTCGATGGTGGCGTTGAACACCTCCTCCTGGCTGAAATTATCGTCAGCTTGAAATTTAGGAGGAAGGAGACGGGAAGATAATAATAAGGGCGGACAAGAGAGCATTGATTTGGACATACAGCAACTTCACTTCATCTTCTAGCTCCGAGACCCGTGCTGAGAACTCCTTGCACCTGATTTGGTACTTTTCGTGAATCTGGCGCTGTTCGGCTCTCCGCTGTCGAAAGTTCTCATTCGCTTTTGTCAGACGGTCCAGCACTAACAAAAGTTCACGGTCATATTGAAGAGCTTCTTCCCTCCTATCTTCCGGATGCGTGGCTTCGTGATGGTCTTCAGCAATGTCTCCTCGTGGATCCACCCTATCCGAGAATTCATATTTCGTGTCATCATACCTCCGTGTGGGCGCAGTCAACACCTTCTCCAGCGCCGAGCAAGAGTCGCGAAAGACAGTGGCATCGCCTAGCGAAAGCACCGTCTTGGAAGGGAGCTGCGAGCTAAGATCCAGGAGGAGCCGCAGCTGCTCTCGTATCTCATCAACATTCAACTCCGACCCCTGTTCGATACACCCTGGTCCCTCCTTTACGCTGCCAGCCTTCGACAACATTAATATTGGCAAAAAGAGAAGGAGATTGAGAGAAGAGAGAATAAAAGCGTTGGCTTTAGATTACCCCCCCGTCTTGCATATGTAATTTTTTCCTTCTTTTGCTTTATGCCTTTCTTGTTGATCTGTTCACTTCACGGCCTGGTGAGAGTTTGACTTTCAACCGTTTTTCTGTCGTGTAAAACCCAACGGCCAATGAGATAACTAGTTATAATCCAATAATATGTTTCTGATATGCATCCAGCAACGAAAAGCTCCAAGATCGGACGATGCCACCCTGTAGTTAAGTTCTGTACGAGGCAGGTTTCTCGCTCGGTGAGTGGCCGCCGTTCGGGTGTATTTATAGCTCTGGGCTCCCTGCGAGGGCTGGTCCCGCTAGTCAGCTAAGTTAGTTAGTCAGTGACCGGCGAGCCCATAGTTTGGTTAGTCGCAGTTAGAATCGCCGGGCAGGGCTCATAATTTGGTCTTCTCAGGGTTCGCTGCTCTTCCCCCTCCAGCCCGCGACTCGCTCTCCTCTGCTGTAGAACATCCTGCGTTGGAGTCGCCTGAAGCCGCCAGAGACGCCGAAGGACAGATACTGGGAGAAGAACCATCTCGCTGCGCTTTTTCGCAATGGCTCCACGGGTATGTGTACCTATATTTATGCCCTCCCAAGCCCCCACGGGATATTTAGTGACGCTATGGCTGGAAATATAGCTGGGGTGACTGTGTATCTACCAGGCAGTGGAACAGACGATTAATCAGGACGCATAGGTTATTGCTCAACCGTCTCTCGACGCCGTGAAGGATGTCCTCGCGCAATCAAGGGGGTCCCCGAACCCGCCGAACATGGTCCCGGTAACGGCGTCGATACCTGCAGACTTGATGACTCCCACCGTCGCATACCTTAAAATCTCAGCAGAGTGAGTTTGGCCGGGCAGTTTGTGGCCTTTGGCTGTACAATTGAGAGCTAACAGGGTCCTGCTTCAAGCTCGAAACGGTCGTTCCTTTACGAGAGTGCGGCGACGACGGAGACGATTGGCAGGTACAGCTTCGTTGGAGCGGGTACGTACTGAAATATTTCTACTGTGGTTGAATATAGAACTAATGCATGATGATGTCTAGACCCCAAGGATGTGCTTGTGTCTGGACCTGGACATGGACCGGAATGTGACCCTTTGCCGCTGCTCGAGAAGGAGATCTCGCAGTGCCGTGTTGCGACTGTCCCTGGACTGAAGCTACCACCACTTACTGGAGGGGCAATTGGATACGTTGGATACGACTGCGTTAGGTATTTTGAGCCTAAGACTGCTCGCCCCATGAAGGATATACTATGCATACCCGAGTCTCTATTCATGTTGTTCGACACCATCGTTGCGTTCGACCACTTCTTCCAGGTTATCAAGGTGATAACGTATCTCCGGGTACCAGATGGAGATGCCGACATAGAAAAACTCTACCGGGAAGCCGAGTTGGTACTTCAGAAGATGATTCAAAAGCTTTTAGATCCCAAGGTGCCCATGCCTCCACAGCCTCCTATCAAGCCTGACCAGGTATATACGTCGAACATTGGCCAGGCAGGATATGAAGGCCATGTTCACCGGCTAAAGGAGCACATCGGGAAAGGCGACATCTTCCAAACCGTGCCATCCCAACGGCTTGCACGGCCTACCACTCTCCATCCATTTAACCTGTTCAGACACCTGAGATCCGTGAACCCTTCCCCTTACCTATTTTACATCGACTGTGCCGACTTCCAGATCGTTGGTGCCAGCCCTGAGCTCCTGGTCAAGAAAGAAGCAGACAGAATCATCACCCACCCCATTGCCGGTACTGTTCCAAGAGGCAAAACCCCCGAGGAGGACGAGAAGCTTGCCGAAGAGCTCCGCAACAGTCTAAAAGACCGTGCCGAGCACGTCATGCTAGTCGACCTGGCCAGAAACGACGTCAACCGCGTCTGTGACCCAGCAACCACTCAGGTCGACCGGCTAATGGTTGTTGAGAAGTTCTCTCATGTCCAGCATTTGGTCTCCCAGGTCTCTGGTGTCCTGCGGCCAGAGAAGACCAGGTTCGATGCATTCCGATCCATTTTCCCTGCCGGGACGGTCAGTGGTGCGCCCAAGGTGCGAGCCATGCAATTGATTGCTGAGCTGGAAGGTGAGAAGCGTGGTGTCTATGCTGGCGCTGTTGGGTACTTTGGATATAACCGCAGCAGCCTTGATGGAAAGGAGATCATCGACGGCGCCATGGACACCTGCATTGCGTTGCGGACGATGGTTCTCAAGGACAACGTTGCCTACCTCCAGGCCGGCGGTGGCATCGTCTTTGACTCTGATCCGTACGATGAGTATGTTGAGACCCTGAACAAGCTGGGCGCAAACATCCAGTGTATAAAGGGGGCCGAGGAGCTGTACCTTGCCCTGGAGAAGGAATCTGCCGGTAAATAGTAAACTAGATCTCACATATGCACTTCTCTATCTTCTTCTTCTTTTTCTTCATCCATCTTCATCCATCTTCTTCTCCATCTACTTTATCTACATCCATCTCCTCCTATGTTGATACTCCTTATTGATCTTCTATCTATATCTTTCTATCGGCGCTGTGGCTGGGCAGCTTAGTCATCACCCCCACTTCACTGACTCAGCCACTTTTCTTCTGCGTCCGCGACGTCAACACCCAAAACTTCAACATTCACCGAAGTCGAGATTTTCCCGCCGGCATCTTCATAAACGAATATCTTCTTGTCTTCCTCTTCCGCTTCTTCTTCTCTCCTTCATATAGCGTTTGCTCTGCTGAAGCCGCCGAAAAGACATCTTCTCCTGCGTCCTTGTTGTCCGTCACCCAGCGGGTTCTGGCTTGGCACGTTCGCTCCAGCGGCCCGACTACGTAAGTTCAGTTCAACTATTATTATTTTTATTATCTGCTCCACGACCATCTACGCGAGCGGACATAATGCCCTGTACTGGCAGATAAACCATTGTCTTTGTTCCTGTGCCGTGTGCATGGAAAGGATATCACTGCTTTGACACTCCCTTGCGAAACAAAAGAGCCTGCACTGGACCGGTTTACTAAAGGCGCAAACTTCTCCGTTCAACTAGTTAGTTACCGTCTCCTCCTTGCGCATCTCACGAGCGCACCGCCCGCACCGCGAAATACTCCCGCTGTCTTCTCCCTAGAGACATCCTCACGTTCAAAAAGGCCTCCAAATACACGATAGCACCGTTCCCCTCAGTCCCGGTATACTCCCCATTGTCACAGCGGCCGGTTCCCGAGTAGAACCGGACAGTTCGACGTCAGTATGTCGAAGGTTGTGAGGAGTGTGAAGAATGTCACCAAGGGCTATTCGGCGGTACAGGTGAAGGTCCGGAATGGTATGAATTCTTTGTACCCGTCTGGCTGATGTTCGGTGTCCACGGGGGTGCTGACAATTATTATATAGCCACGAGCAACGATCCTTGGGGCCCAACGGGCACAGAGATGGCCGAAATTGCCGCTCTGACATTCAACAGGTACGGCGATGATTGCCAGGAGATTGTACCCTGCTAGACAACATGGTGACTAACTCAATTCCACGGATAGCCCGAACGAATTCTATGAAATCGTGGAGATGCTCGATAAGCGGTTAAACGATAAGGGAAAGAATTGGCGCCATGTGTTGAAATCTCTCAAAGTCGTTGATTATTGCCTTCACGAAGGTTCCGAACAGGTAGTGACTTGGGCGACGAAGAACCTCTACATCATCAAGACTCTCCGTGAGTTTCAGTATATCGACGAGGATGGGCGTGATGTTGGCCAGAATGGTATGTGTATACACATATCCAGCACATGTACGGTTTCTAACAAACTTACTAGTTCGTGTGGCTGCGAAGGAGCTCACTTCTCTGCTGCTTGACGAAGACCGATTGAGGAGCGAACGATCCGATAGAAAGCTGTGGAAATCACGATTCGCCGGAATGGACGACGGCATGCGAGGCATCGAGGGAGGTGATATGTCTCACCGCCAGCGCCGACGAGAGCGTCCCCAACGCCCTGCTGATGATGAAGACGCCGAATACAGACTCGCAATAGAGGCCAGCAAGTACGAGGCAGAAGAAGATAGGAAACGACGAGAAAAGAATGCTTCCCGGGATCTAGAAGACGACGAACTCGCCAAGGCCATCAAGCTCAGCAAGGAGGAAGAAGAACTTCGAAGACGGGAGCTCGAAGAAAGCAATGCTGCCTCTCTTTTTGATGACTCAACCCCTCAACCTGCCCAGCCACAGGCTACCGGATACAACCAGGGTTACCAGCAGCAAGGTGCTGTGGACTGGTTTGGTAACCCAGTTGACCCCCAGCAGCCCATGACTACAGGCTTCCTAAACAATCAATATGCACAACCTACTGGGTTCCAGCCCCAGCAGACTGGCTTTAACAATAGCTTTCCCAATGGATTTCAGCAACAACCAACGGGATTTGACCAGCAGTTCCTACAGCCTCAATCCACGTTACAACCGCAACAGACCGCCTTTACCAGTAACCCGTACGGAAATGATTTGTTTGGCCAGCAACAGCAACCACAGATGCAACCGCAACAACAACAGGATGGCTTCCTTCAACCTGGCTCCCATAATCCATGGGCTATGAACCAACAAAAGCCAGCTGAAGCTTTGAAGCCAGCTCCGACTGGCTCCAATAACCCATTCGCATCGTCTTTCACACGCGCCCAAGCCCAGCAATCTCAAATTCAGAAAACCGGACCACCATCTCTTAACGCTCTTGCAGAACAGAAAACCGCAACGCAGTTTAATAACCCTATCATGAACTACCAGGCACCCCAGCAACAACAGCAGCAGCAACAACAACTCCAGCCCATGAACAACCAGCAACAAATCAACCAAAACCCACAACATGCCCGTCTTAACGCTCTTCTTGCCACCGGCGACGGCCAGGATACATTTGGCAATGTCGGCGATCTACGTATCCCAGCTCAGCATACCGCACCGGGTGTATTTGTAAACTCTGCTGGTTCTGGGCTTAACCAGATTCAAGCTTCAAGGACCGGTAACAACCCGTTCCTAACCCAAAACTTCACCGGTGCGCCTCAACAACAGAGCAACCCCGGCTTCGGCTCTCAGCAGGGCTTTGCACGCCCTAATCAACAGGGCAGCAACAATCTCATTGATCTATGATTCCCCCTTATCCATTGATGGATGCACCTATCAAATTTCTTTTGTTTTTTACCCCTTCGTTATTTTTTTTTATTTCTCCCACCCTTCATTATTATGGTGGTCTTGTGTGCCTCGTCGGACTCTGGGGCGATCGGATCAGCGGAGCTTCAAAGTTGATTTCGGCGATATGATGACATTGGAAGATCATTAATCCTCACTTCGACTCTTATAGACAGGTCCACCGCGATGACCCTCTTTCTTCTTCTCTCTTTTCTTCCCCACCTTTCAATATGCTGGCGGGTGATGCAATGACTTTTTGATTGCTTTTTGATTCCATTTTTCCCATCCCACCCGCTACGTTCCATCCGTTGCCCATAACGCTCTTCCACTCATGTGATATCATGTCCACCGATATGAACCTTTTCCCCTGTTCCTTAAATTGACCCCTTCCTCCCTACGCCCTCCCTGTTATCATTTTCTATACTATATATCCGTGCATACGTCTACCGATAATTCTATCTTCATTTTCCTCTTGCTGGATTCACTATTCTGAGGGTGATTTGTTGGTGTCAAAAGTCTCCTTACTATTTCTCTGCTGTTCCTCTTCTAAGAAACATTCAGATCTATTCCCCCGTTTCCGTCGTGCTTTGCCCTCCTGGTATGTATACGCGTAGGCAAACTAATCTCTCCCGTATTTGACACTATTGTATAATCTTGGAATGCGTTCTTCTCAGATCAGTTGTCCAGGAGGCATTTAAGCCCTGGTAGTTCCCCAGTTCATCATCCAGTCAGATGCCAGTAACGACTTTTGCCGAAGCCCGTTTCCCAGGATCAAAAACGAGCATTGATCGAAACATAGCCAGGACAGCTGCTTTTTTTCTCTTCACTGAATGCTCCAACCCCCTCTTCCCTTCGTACAGCTTGTAACGAATTTCACCCAGGCTGAAAAGTGAACCCGCTATGGTGAATTTACCATGGCTGGCTGACCTTACTCCAACCAACCTAGTTGGATAAGTTTAAATGATAACCCACCGTTCGGAATCCCCAACCTCCACAAGAATGGACAACCTCTCAGTTCTCTGCAGTAGTTGGCGACACGTACCTGTGCTCCATGCTGAATCCAAGCTCCATAGGTTTACCCGAAGGAAGGAGGCGAAGGAGTCCACGCTTCTCTAAGTCCTGGCAGAATTCCCGCTTCTTCAACGAAGACTCTCCAGACCGGTCTTGATTTACGTTGTGACAGTCGTTGAAGGTAGAGGCTGCTTCGTGATTGCGCGGTCCACTGGTTGGTTCACTCCGCAAGATGTCGGTCTGGGTAGCTAACTCTGCAAGCGTGCGATATCGGTTATGCCAGCACTTATCGATGATATTGTCAATTAGCGGATCACCGTTGAACTTCGGAATTTTCATATCCTGGAGTAATTCCATGACCTTGGGTCCATGTTCATAAGGGTCATCGACAAGACGCTGGTCATCATAAACCTCAAAGCCGTAGTTATTTAGGTAGAATAGCGAACCGAGGGCAAACTGTCCCGTTCTAGGACCTAGGAAACCCGCAGTTCCAGGTACTCCTTGGTCTGTCTCCTCACTATTTAGTAGTCTTCCATACGGACAGGGGCAAGTATCAAAATCCGACCCAAATTCGCTTGTGCAATCAAAATCCGAAATTTTCAGTCGGTTACGATCAAGGAGGATATTTTCAGGTCTTATGTCACCATAGGCGAGGTTAGGTGACTCGAGGAAAGCAACACCTCGGGCAAGGTCGTTCACCCCTGAGAGCATATATGTAAGTCAGCTCCTGATTATAGGCAATCGGAAATTACCTACTAACACAACTTTCGTAGGGGCAAGGGCTCTAGATATTTTACTTTGGTAAACACTCGAGTTTCGTTGTCCCGAATAAGATTGAATTGCTTTCTATAAGCAAGGGATATATCTATCTAGCAGCTCCGTCAGTAAGTATATCATTAGTAGAGCACTAACAAGGCCTATACCTCTCATATACTCAAGGAAAATCCCATCTGTTGTCTTCCAGTTATTTTCTTTGCGGAGCGCGTTGATTAGTAACTAACTAATTTATTTAACAAGTTAGTTAATTGGTCAAGATCAAATTATATAGTTATCTGATGGCTTGGCATAACTAAGGCTTTTTTGCCTGTCCTTGCATTAACATCAACAGCCCCCAAATCACCCTTTTTTTCAATCAGAGGTGCATATGCCCATCTCCCTTGCTTGTGGGGGCCAAAATCCTTACCCAATGGGGCCTCTGTTCAGGCTGCAGAAGTGAGGAGGATGAAACCGTCACTATCCTTACGAAGTCAAGCTACGCGCCGGTCGTGTTTGGAGGATATATGACCAAACCTCCGCCCACTACGCTTTCTAGACCTAAGACGTCTACAATATCTGTGCCATATGACTTTCCCAGTCTCTCTGGAACAATCTCGCAAACGGCAGGAGTCAGACTGTCTCGATCCACCACGGCCTCCATCGAAAAGGCTGAAGCTTAGGCAGCCCACTTCAGCATATTGGGATAGCTTATCGAAGATTTGGTTAACGAGGGACGCTCTCGAAGAGTTGGATCGACGGAATAGGGCTTCGCACAGCGTACCAGAGTCGCCATATTTCCGCCACCGGCCGCTCACTCGACAGTTGCAGGCGAGACTTAAGCATCGTCACCAGACACTTGCCCCCGACCCCCTAATCAGCTGCAAGCCCGAGAGTCTGAGCAAGATCAAAAGGCTCTCGAGACAGGGCGGACCTGACCTATCTGACCTCAGGAATGTATGTAGTTCTTGTGACATGCTGGTGCCTATACTTACACTTTATCTCAGTTTCCAGACCCTCATACCCCTTGTTATCAATCAATGAGCGCAAACAGCTCGGGACACCGGAAAAGACGTACGGGGACTCCTCCAGATAGCAGCAACAGCAATAATAAGACTACAAAGACAACGAGCACTACAGCCTATAATCGGAACTTTGAGCAGAAGTTGATTGATCACGGTGTTTACCCACCTGGATATAAATACCCCGATGGCCAGAAACCGGCAAAGCCGAATAACTGGCAGGAGCTCAATGAACGGCTGGCGCAGCCCCGAGCTTCACTCTCGCCGTCAAAGTTTTCGGAGCAACAATTTGAAGAATTTGTAGAGGCAGATGTAAATGCGTCTAAGGAGAAGCCTATTGTACGCTTGGCTATCCCGATTATTGAAGGCCGCGTTGATGATACTAGGTGCATGGGGGGAGACTACCCATTTGGCAACCTTGCTACTCTAACAGATAGAACACTTGCAAACGCAAAACCAGATCACTTCTTTGGCGCCCGGCCTGAGCAGCTTAACCATAAAATACGCGATGAGCTTAGCGAGTTTATTATTCCGTCGACCCAGAGCTCCCTTCCGATAGCTCCAAACTTCTTTCTTGAAACTAAGGGTCCCGATGGATCCCTCGCTGTTGCTACTCGGCAAGCCTGTTACCACGGCGCGCTAGGTGCTCGAGGAATGCATAAGCTTCAGTCGTATAAGCAAGATGAACCATCTAGGGACAATAATGCCTATACGATAACGTCAATTTACCATGGAGGTCAACTCAAGCTCTACACAACACACCCCACTGCTCCCCGAGAAAGCGACGGGCGTCCTGAATACATTATGACTTCACTAAGATCATTTGCCATGGCGGATAGCCTGGATACTTTTCGGAGCGGTGCAACTGCATATCGAAATGCACGGGATTGGGCAAAAGAACAGAGGGACGAGTTTATTAAATCTGCAAACGAGAGACACACGCAAGCTCCATCTGAACTTCTCTCATCTGAACGCGAACCAACTTCTGAACCAACTGTTGTCTTGGAGGACTCTGATACACTAGCTACATCTGATGAAGCTGGACTTCACGATGCTGAGTGGAGCTTTGCACATCCAAATGACAACGTTGAGGGTGCTTCGAGACAGACAAGAGCCGAGCCAACCAATAGTACTAGCCGCAAGTCTCTCCAAAATTAAGTTATTTGCTATTTGCGTGTATCCTTATTACAAGTTAAGCTTGTCTCTTTGGCAAAGGGGCCATGCAGGTACAAACGGTCAATACATATAGATGATGTACTCCTTACAGGCCACCCTCTTCTACCCATTCAACGGCTGCCCAGCCTACCTAGGGAGCCTAGCTAGCTGCTCGGTTTTCATGGTTGGCCGACCAATGCAGCCCCTGATTGGCTGAATCTTCCCTTTTCCGTCTACTTGATTGGTCGGTTGTTACTGGACAGCATAACACTCTGTGCCTGAGCCAAACATTATTATAAATTAACATAATATCCGTATAAATACTATATAAATACTATAAAAGCGGGAACTTCCCTTCCGCTCGACAGGAACACCCTATATTGGACTATCATATGCCCGTGGACCCGATAGAAATATAACTAAATAATAATAATAAGGACCGGGGGGGGGGGCCATCGCAAAGCCCAAAAGTGACCTGCTTACGTAACCTGTCACACTAGGCGTTGGCCTTCTTAGTGGGCCTTTTCTTTTAGTGTTTTGCGTTGATGCCTGCGAGCGAGCGCCTGCGCTGCGTGGACGACGTTAGGTTAGCTAGAAGAGGAAAAATCACACATCCACAACTCTCTCGTCCCTTTCTTTTCCTCTCCTGCATTTCCGATACCGACCACACCTCATCCCAGGCCATACCAGCATCCATGAGTTAACGGGCCTTTTTTTTTTGTTTATCCTGCTGCTGGAGTCCTTCCCTATTTCTTTCTACACCTATTCGTCAAGCTGCTAAGCCGGAACCTCGATCCTTGTTTATCCGTCCGTAGGTTGTTTGTTTATCTGCGGCACCCGCACCGTCGGGCATTGACAACCGCGCACCACCAGCTTCATCCCACCCAAGCAGACGGAGAGTCGCATTTAGTACATATCGACAGGTACTGCGGTTGTTGATTTTGAATATCTTGTTACTGGTGGTGTTCCCTGCAGTGTCTCTGACTTGTTTATTTTTTTTTTTTTATAATCACTGGGGATACCTCCTGTTATTGTTGTTGCTTTACTGACAGATGAAAAGCTTTATAGGCCATCCTTATACACATAGACACTTCCACAGAGCGAAACCATGGCCGACGAAGAAGACTACTCTTCTCTCCCTCTCCCCGAGAGATTTGCGCACAAGGTGGGCTTTGACCTGGCACCCCCTGCACTGCTGAGCAAACAATTAACATTTGAACGAACTCTGCATTAGGTCTGGAAAGTACGGAAAGAAGGCTACGAAGCGGCCAAGAAACAATTTGAAATATCTCCAGATGAAGACGCTCCCGTATTTCGACCGTTCCTACAAGATCCGACCATTTGGAAGGGCGTTGTCGCAGACACAAACGTTGCCGCCCAGCAGGAGGGTCTTGCTGCATACTGCTCCTTTCTGCAATATTCAGGGGCCCAGGCCTGTAATAGGTGAGTTACTTACACGGTGCACCCAGAGCAAAGAACTAACAGATATCTATTACTGTTTCCAGAACACGCTCTGTTACTGCCGCACCCATAATCGAAAAGGGTCTTCCCCAAACCCGCCCCGCTGCAAAAGCGAGTGCGCTCGAAGCACTGTTACTTTTTATTGAACTCGATAAACCTGAGCCAGTTATTGAAGAGCTTGTCGCTGCTCTCTCACATAAGACTCCCAAGGTCGTGGCCGCCGCTCTATCGGCCCTTACCTCTATATATCACAACTATGGAATCAAGATAGTGGAAACAAAGCCGGTTCTTAAAGCTCTGGCGAAAGTCTTCAGCCATGCAGACAAGAACGTGAGAGCAGAAGCCCAAAATTTGACGGTAGAGCTTTACAGATGGCTTAAGGAAGCCCTCAAAGCTACCTTTTGGAACGACTTGAAGCCGGTACAGCAACAGGACCTGGAGAAACAATTCGAAAAAGTGAAACAAGATCCCCCGCCAAAACAGGAACGGTTTACCCGCACACAACAAGCGGTCATGGCTGAGGCTAGTGCAAATCCTGGCGCTGAAGATGGAATGGGCGAGGCTGAAGGTGACAACCTAGAAGATGACGGTGAAGTCGATGTCTTTGATCTGGTTGAAGCGGTGGACATAATTGCAGCCGCACCAAAGGACCTTCACCAGAATCTAGCCTCATCCAAATGGAAGGATAGGAAGGAAGCACTGGATGACTTATACAAGGTCGTTAACGTCCCAAAGATCAAAGAGGGCAATTTTGATGAACTATGCGGTGACCTTGGCAAATGCATGAAAGATGCGAATGTCCTGGTAGTGACAGTTGCAGCGAATTGTATCTGCGCGATTGCAACTGGACTTCGGAAAGGATTTGCCAAATACCGCTCCGTTGTGATGCCGCCAATGATGGAACGACTAAAAGAGAAGAAGGCTACGGTATCAACCGCTTTAGGCCAGGGTTTGGATGCCGTGTTTCTATCAACAAGCTTGACCGACTGCCTGGAAGATATCCTTGGGTTCCTAAAGCATAAGAATCCTCAAGTGAAGCAGGAAACTTTCAAGTTCCTAGTCCGCTGCCTACGAACTACCAGAGACGTACCTTCAAAGGGGGAGGTAAAGTCAATAGCTGAAGCTGGAACAAAACTTCTCACAGACTCCAGTGAAGTCACTAGATCAGGAGGCGCGGAAATCCTAGGAACTCTCATGAAGATTATGGGTGAGCGTGCAATGAATGTATATCTAGACGGGCTAGACGACATTCGAAAAACCAAGATCAGGGAGTTCTTTGAAACGGCAGAGGTTAAAGCGAAGGACAGACCAAAACCCATA